TGTAGGGAATGAATTCAGGCGGATCTGGACAGGTTGGAAAAGTGGGCAGAACAGAACAGGATGCAATGCAATAAGGACAAATGCAAGATGCTGCACCTAGGGAGAAGGAATCACGGGCACACTTACAGGCTGGGGAAGGACCTTCTCAGCAGCACAGCAGCGGAAATGGATCTCAGAGTCACTGTTGACTCCAAGATGAACATGAGTTGTCAATGTGACGAAACAATCAGTAAAGCTAACCACACTTTAACATGCATTAGCAGGTGCATGACAAAGAGGTCCAGGGAGGTGATACTTCCCCTTTATGCAGCACTGGTCAGGCTACAGTTGGAGTACTGCATCCAGTTTTGAGCGCTGTACTTCAAGAGTGATGTGGACAACCTTGAGAGGGTTCAGAGGAGGGCAACTGGTATGGTTGGGGGCCTGCAGGCAAAGCCCTACGAGAAGAGATTGAGGGCCCTGGATCTCTTCAGCCTCTGCAAGAAAAGGCTGAGAGGTGATCTTGTGGCCACCTATAAATTCATTGGGGGGCGGGGGAAGGGGCAGCAAGGAATAGGAGATACAAGGGGTGCCCCTTGGAGTAACTAGGAACAATAGCCACAAACTGATGGAGAGCAGATTTAGGTTAGACACATCAGGAAGAACTTATTTGCAGTAAAGGTGGCCAGAATCTGGAATGGACTTCCAAGGAAGGGCACTCTCCCCTACCTTGGGGGTCTTTAAGAGGAGGCTAGATGTGCACCTGGCTGGGGTCATTTGACCCCAGCGCTTTTTCCTACCCAGGGCAGGTGGTTGAACACGATGATCTCCTAAAGTCCCTTCCAACCCAAACATTCATGAATCTATGAATGTTTTAATACCCAAAACAGGGCAAAACCATTATGAAAAGCCTACTGAATAATTCAGTAGAAGGCCCAATTTTGAGTCATAGCACCCAACGGTGATAGGAACCATGCAAAGGTGATACTCAACTTACAAGAAGAGAGGAGAGCTTCCTGTTCTTTGCTAACAAGACCTACCAACCAGGTAGGAACTGCATCAACACAGCTCAGAAAAACTCACTGCTGCTTGCCTCCAGGAAGTACAATGGGGACTTGTGAAGATGAAATGTCACGTTTAAGAAACAAAGAGTTTGTCAGACCTCACTAGAGGGGACAATGGTTTGGTGTCTGATTTCTGATGGGACAAGTCTGAACATTTCAGAAAGAGTGGTTTTGGGGTTTGTTTGTTTTTTAACTACATTTTGAATTGGGACAAGACAAGCAAAAAGGTTGCTAAAGAACATTCTGAAAGCACATGATCTTTACAAGTAGGCAGAAGGCAGGACAGGATGGCACCTTATTAATTAACTTGGTCACCACCCTCCCTTGTCCACCCAACTTTGGACTAACATGGCTAACTACCTCTCTTTAGAGATAGGATTTACATTTCCTAGTGTGATGTGTTAGCCTCGTACTTACCTTAATGATGATTTCTGTTTTTCCATCCACATCTTCTGTTTGTTGAAATAACTGGTTTTGATACTGCTGCAATGAGAGAAATGTTGGACATATTACTTCAGATAGGCAGTGTTGTCCCTGAACCACAGCAACATGGGAAGTGGTTTATCATAGACACCTCATTATCTGAGCTTGTTTGCCGAGCTATTAGATTAAGGGGGGAAATTCCGCCTACATCCCATTAGTGTATTATTAGTACATTATTTACTTGCACAAAGCCTGGAGAACTCTAGCTACCACAGCACTGGAACAAAACATTATCATCCCTTGCAAGAACGGGACACTGAAGGATACTCTTGAAGTGAATGAAGTAGCTGGTGCAAAGGCCACTTCTTTGCAGCAGACATCCTAGTTAGCTGCTAGGGTAACAGCTAATTGAAGGCAATATGAATCTACACTCACTTCACCCAAACAAGTTGCTTATTCATTAATGTGGTGGCTTAATCTTGCAATAAATGATATTCTTGTACAAATGAAAGCACAAAAAGTTATCAGTTAGCAGCACCACAAGTACCAAGACAAGAACACTGAAGACTTTATAAGACCATCAGCTAACTGCTTTGCCTGTGCTTCTGATAGAGCAGGGGTGGGCAAAATGCAGCCCGTGGACCCGTTGCGACCCACAGGGCCCCTAAAAAAATTAGAAAATTAATATTTATCTGCCCCCAGCTGCCTGTCATGCGGCCCTTGATGGCTTGCCAAAACTCAGTAAGCAGCCCTCCACCTGAAATAATTGCCCACCCCTGTGAGTCACATTTCCCTATTCTACTTCAAAAGCCAGCTAAACTCTGGAGAAGTAGAACAGCTCAACAGGTATGAAAAGACAACAAACAGACAAAATAAGCATGTCTGAAACCCTCTAGGAACTACCTTGGCTTTACTATCTAGTTCCCCAACACACAGAAAATGTAGAGATTGAAGACCTTCTGCAAACAAGCAGCCATAGAAGAATTAAGCACCTCTGCTACCCTATTAAAGGCAAAGCCTAAGCATGCAAACTGCTAGGGTTTTGTAACTGATCCTTCATGCTAAACATGCAGGTAAATTTGGTGAGCACAGATTTAGAAAGCTGCATTTCTTCAAATGAGCCCAACTTTAAGACTTGGTTTGTCTGAAATGTGATGTTATCACCACGTGCTCTGACATCTAGTATCTGCTGGGGTACACCAGGAATTTTGAAGCTTCCCTGGGTTAAGTTTGCTTCATTGCTGTGTTTCCCTATGATTCTATTACAGCTGAGAAAAAGTAACACTTTCTCACTACCATCATATTTTAATCTCCCCTGCAACTAAGAGATACTGTAGAGTTGTTTTTCAATTCTTCCTCTTCCATTTATATTTACCTCTTCCCTTCCTCTTACGTACCTTCTAGAAGTTTGCCACATACTCCCAGGGATGCATGCACTCTGGTCTGAGAAACACCAGTGTACACTAACCTATTCCATAGCAGCTCACACTGTGCCTGAGCATGTGCACATATAAGCAGGTGGCATAAAAATTTGCTCAAGGTCAGTTTCTGAGTACAATAAACGATTCCTATCCCCATATCTGAACCTGATGTGCCCAGTGGCAGAGCCTGCTGAGAAATTAACAAGAGATACTGAAACCTGGTCAAATTATACAGACAGTGCTAGTCCAGCAATAAATTCCCAAGGGAACAGTTAAGCAAAAGAAACTCCATACCACCTTAGAGCAAAGTAGGTTTATCCAAAAGTAGGAACCAAATGCTTAAGCAGATTATGGGATTAATTTTGGATCATCTTTTTGACCTGGCGTCATAGTGTTCCTGTGAAGCTTCAATTTACTGTGACATGGAATCAATATCAAGAAGTTCTTGGGAGCTGAAAAATACCGGATGGAGGTTTCAGGGTAAAAATCTATGCTGCGTCTTTGATCTTTCCAGGAATGCTCTCCCAACTCAGAAATGTAAGGTTAAGATGCTCTTGGGACACCCCGTCATAGCCATTTTCTGAATAGTATTATAGACAAACAGCTTGGGAGCAGTGGTGAGATAGCACATCTAGGGCACTTTCACTGGCACATTTCCAGGTTTGGCACATGTGAGCAGGAGGGAGCATGCTTGAGAACATGCTTTACCTGGAGGGCCAAGGATGCAGCATAGACACAACCTGACTATAGCGAGATGTTTGATTTGCTTCTGGCTTTATTAAACTAAGCATATGGACAGACTTTTAACAATTTCACTGCTATGAAAGGATGCCAGTACAAGCTGTTAGGATGCAACTGTTATATCTGCATGATTCTGTAGCCACACAAAAGTAGGAAAATGGCTCCAGCTATTAACCCTAATTTATTCAGGGTCAAAGTTCAGATGATTTAGCTCATTTGCATTGCTACAGACTCAGGTAGAAATGTTTAGCTTCTACAAGCTGCTGTGGGATCCCAAGCAGCAGCCTCCCCTGTCAACATTAAAGCAGATAAAATGTACGTGTCCATACCTTAAGAGACTTGCTCAGTCTGTGCAGAATGCAAATTACCATGTACAGAATCTGCAACACTTCAAATCTCAGCTGGGCACAAGGGAACTGGAGGGCATTTATATCCAAGTTTACTTGGTACAATTTTCTGCTTGGAATTTGAAGCCACAGTTTTGTCCAAACTGAAGGCCCACCTCAGTGGAATACAGACCAATAGAAGAAGAGGTGATATATATCAGCTGAGGTTTGGCATCTGATCTCTCTAGCATATGTTCTTTTGCCCCTTTACAGAATGCTTATTTGAACAAGAGAGTCATGTTTGGAAGAAACCATACATCCTTCCAAAAAAAGCTCCAAGGCTTAAGTACTAAGTGGATAGCAAACTACTATGCCAACACAAATTAGTTAGCGTGAAGTATGGAAAAATTCCACACTGCTTTTATGGCTATATTTTTTGTATACTGTATTTGTGTGTGTCCTGGCACCTGTCTAATGGTAATAAAAATGCAACACGCTGAAGTGTTAGAATAAATATTCCCCTCCAACAGAGACAGTCCTAATCAACCACAATATATCTGTCAGCAAATCTATTCAGTCACACAGATGGATGTCCCTTGTGCAAGGTGGGGGGGGGGAGGGGAAATCAATGAGTCCTAGTCCTCCTGAGCTGCCACACTGCACAGCTGAGGATTCTTTTCTCTCTTAGCTGAAAATGTATTGCTGGCTTTCCAGAGGTGCATAAACTTGGCTGTTCTGTTTTTGCACAGGAGATTTTTAGTGATGAAAGATCGACAAGGAGCACAGCCATCTTCAGTCCTTAGCTGAAGAACTCCTGCAACTCAGGCCCAGCTCTCCTGAAATCTGCAGGTGCAGACAAGATTTTTATCTCCCTTTTATCAATCTCTATCAGGTATTATGTCATTACAGGGTGGCCTGCAGAATTAAGTCATTCAAGAACCAAACAGGGAAATGATTCTATCACGTGGGGATTGATGCAGGATATTCATGTTCCCGCTCACAAAAAAAGACTTGCAAGAAACTGATTGGATTTGCTGCTGCACTGGAGGGTGGGTGGCGGGGTGTGGTATAATCCACATCCCAGCAACTCTCTAGGTATACTAGATGCCCATCCCTTTTTTAGTTTAATTTTATGCCCTCCTGCCCTCAGTTGTTTTAATCTCTCCGAGAAAGCAGACAGTCCAGCTGTTAACTGATTTAATCTTCAGCCTTTTTCTTAAAAGTAGGTTTCTCCCTGCTGTATTGGAGGGAAGGGTAACATCAAATTATAAACCTCTTTTTAAAACAGATTTGATGCTGATCTCCAAGGCAGAGATGCTTACCATGCACATCTATTGTTTTTTTTTGATGGCTTAAACACAGCCAATTTGCTCAGAATATGGGGGAGGGGAGTGCTGGTTTTCGCCCCACAAAATAAAAGGTGATTTCATATACTTTTTAAGAAAAACACAGATGCTATAGGTGCTTGGGCATGTGTGAAGTCGTGTCTTTAATCCATTCCTTCTGGGCTGATCCTGAAAGATGCTGAATGTCTTCTGTGAGATGCCAAGCATCTGCCGCCCCTAAGTGAAGACAGCTCATCACCCACCTTCTCTCTTTTTTATAAAGAAAAGATGCAGTTAAACCAGAGATCAGCAACTGTTCAAGGGACCAAACTGTTTCCTCTGGGTCTTTTAACAAGGGTGGCTGAGAATTTTACAAGTCTAAGAGGGAATCCTGGGAAAGATGGAATCATACTTATTTGAGACCAAAAATAGTTTATTGCTTAGAAAAGGCTTCAATACAAAAATACTTAGAGAAGTTCATTTTTACAAAACACAAGAAACACAAATATTTAATAGAGTTAGCCTTTTTTTCCTTAAATGAATAATAAATTACTTTTATCCAAACCCCAGATACGTCTTGCACCCTAAGACAAGTGTTAGGAAGTGACATCCGGTGTTTCTGTTTCAAAACAGAGCAACACATAGCAGTGAAGCATCAATTACGTGTGCAATAAGTGTTTGTATACAGATACTGGGTTTCTATGGGCACTGAAGTCTACAGCGTTCAAGCTCGTGCTGGTTTTATTTCTGGGACTGAATCTTGGAGGTCTCTACAGAGGAGCAGCTTTTTTAAAATCAAGAAATATAATTAAAGACATTCTGGATGTCATGGGGCAATTGCATGAAGAAGGTGGCCTTAATGCCAGTTACATTCTAGTTTTAAAATGGCTGGAGTTATTTAAATTGTGTTGCTCACACAGTAACTATTTCATATTCTAAGCAATGCTCTGGGCTACCAACACCAAGTTACACTGCATCCACAATGGTTTTAAAAGGACTGAATATGTATCCTCACCATCTATGGCAGGTGTCAGAACTAAAACAATACCACTGAAACTGTTACTATCCCAAAACAGCCACTGCAAAAAATAATGGAATGTTATTTTTCAGCTTTAATAATTGCCTAGGAAAGCAATTTTTTTAAACCTATATTCTCAATACTTTCTACTTTTATTGTATCTTCCATCCAGGGATATCAAAACTTTTCAACCCAATATGAACCCCATGAAAACTAAATGAAGTAAGTGTTATTCTTATTTTTGTATATGGGGAATGGTGGCACATAGCACCTTACCCAAGGCCAAATAAGGAATTTGTGGCAGAGCTGGAAACAGAACCTGGAATAGACCCCTGGTCCTGAACCTTACCCACCAAACCATGCTCCTTAAGCCAATTTATATTAACTAAAAGAGAAGGACAGTCAAAATTAGTAACTGAATGTATATGTAGACATAAGAATTGCCCCTTGCAAGAAGTTACCTATCTGAAACATTCTTTTTAGGTTTGGAGTCAGTGATCTTACATTTCCTATTTAACAGCTGAGGGCTTCACAAACCCTTAAAACAGACCACTTTCCTGCTATGATAATGAGGAATGCAACACTAACAGTGGTCACAGGAGAATGTAAATTTCTAAACACCAGACTTGGGGAGTAAACTGAAGAAGAAGGTATTCTGAAATGCTCCTTTTTAAAATATTAAAGTGCACACTGTCTACATATATATTCTGTTACACTGCCTGGGTATAATTTTCTTTTATGAAAAGCTGGGTAGTCCAGTCTTACATGCCCCAGTGTTAAATGTTCTGGGTCTAGATACTGCCATAGATTTGTAAATGCATCCACTGATCTAACCTTTGTGCCAAACTCAGACTCAACAGACTAACATAAGAAACAAAGTGCAGCTTTGTTGTGTAATGTGCATTGGCTTTTTATCAATGCACATTACACTCATAATGTTGAGCATATTTTTTTTATTTGCTACACATAACAAGTCCTCTGCCTGCCAATATTTCTCATTCTAGTCACCCCTTAAAAACATATGCATCCTGGTGACTCAAGTGAACCATCACAGTCATATATGAGCAGAATGAAGCTTCGTGAAGTCAAACCATTTGAATTCATTGGTGTTGTTTCAATCAGTGGACAAATAGCAGATGCAAACCTAACCCAACACAAATCTCTCCTCCTGCCTAGGAAAATTGGAAGTAAACCTGTCTTTTGCATGGTTATAAATTCTACAAATCTCAACACAGGAAAAATGAATACCACTTTTCTGCATATACTTCATTTCAGCTAGGCTAAATGAATGGCTGCCATTTGAAATCAGATTGGTTCATTTGCAATATTTAAGACTCAGCTACAGCTTTTATGCAGCAATGTCTAAGTTTTCTACAAGATTAGCAAGCAACTGTTAACACTGCTTCATTATTTATCAAAGACTAAAGCAAAGCTAATGCACAGGCACACTTTCCTACTCGCTTTCTTCACCTGCTAGCAAATATACTTACTCTGAGCTAAGAATTAGAGTTACAGTGTCAAATTCCATTGTAAGGGCCCTGATCTTGAATTGAATGAATTCTGACTGGTAACAAGTAACAAGGATATTCACAGTTGTGGCAGCAAAGTTCATTGCTGACTAGTCTGTTATATTGGAAACTAGCCTGAATACACTAACAGATCTCTTTAACCCATGTTAAATCATTTTTCCATGAAGAGCTGAACCCTCAACTTGGTGATGGGTTTATCCTGTATTTGAGTTTTCTCTGCCATCCCTATCTAACAAAAGGATCCTGTGTTAAAAAAAATCCTTAAGAGAGCAGCAGAGCCCAGACTGTTGACACAAAACTGGCAGTGTTCCTGCAGAGGTGTCAGGACTTCTAGGCTCATCATTTCTCTTAATGAAAATTGATTAATACCCCTTCTGACTTATTACATTAATCCCTTGAGCTACTCTGAGGGTTACTAATGAATATTTGCTCTGATCCATCCCAAAGTACTGCTAAAGGACTGTTTTTTTTTAATATTAAGCTGATTCACACAAAAGACCAAATTAGCATAATGCCTTCTACCGGACTAATCATTACAAAACAAGGCTCTTGTCCAACACTAGAGAAGGGAATTGTGGAGATCATGCAAACTTAATTAAAGCAATAGTTAATTATGACAGAGCAATATCTGCACGATCCTTCTACTCCCTTAGTATCAGATGTCTAATGCTAATCCCAAGCAATATCAGTCTTCAGCTAAAGAAGGGCCTTGTGACATATACCAGGGCATTTTCAAGAAAGTGTGCTTGATCAACAACAAAATATGAAGCTTAATTGCCTGGCATTTACTTTAATTACTTTCAATCATTGCACTTTCACCCATGAATCTTGTGCTTTTTCCCCACAGTGAAATTCATTTGAACAACTGCATGGAAAAACTGTCTAGATTTGTTTTCCTTACATGCATTTGCCAATAAATCTGCGTGATATTGTTGTACATTTTAGCAGAGCTGTCTTTCTTTTTTTCCCCAGCAAGCATTTTGGATTAAAAGACAATTAAAAACAAATCTGGATGCACCAAGTACAGCTGTTATTAGGTAGGAAAGTATTTTGCTGGTGAGTAAGTAGAACTGTCTTGGCTCAAAACGGAATTTTTTTTTAAATGTTATTCTTTGGATCGGTGAAGGCAATCTGCCATGTTTCTCAAAAGAATAAGATGTTATTGGATGCATCTACATGTGCATGAATTCACTTTGCCTAATGCACATTAAATTTAGTCCATTGTGCGGTACTAAATAAATGCACATTAGGCTGCCTTATTGTGCAGTAGCAAAAGCACACACTTTTTTACTGATGCGTAATGCACAGTAGCTTATTTTACTGTGTATTAGCATATTTGCATGTTTTTTTACGAAATGCTTTAATAAGTAGTAAAATAGGCTACTGCGCACTAAAGCGCATGTGTAGACGCACCCATCAAGCAGCACAGATATCAACATCCCATTACAAAATAAAAAATTCAGGAGGCAGGGATAGTCCAGCTTGGGATTCATGTCCTGGGAAATATACCCTGTCTCACATACATAGTTGCCCTGTAAAATTAACCCCACAAATTGCTGTGCAACAGCTGGATTTGATCCCTCACTTCCTAGTCCGGGAACTGCTAGGAGCCCAGCAAAGTGCTGCACCCGGCTCTGCTGGAAGGGATCCATCCTGTATTGCTCTTTCAGAGACCCCTTCACATCAAGTTCAAGTAGTGTCAATGTGCTTCTAAAGGAAAACCCATTCAGCCTTCTTCACCTGGGAGTCCTGAGGGGAGACAGAGAAGCAGGTGGAGGGTGAGGGAAAGCAAAATTAAACAAAAACAGATCTCCACCTGTGGACAAACATTCTTCTCAAAGCTCTGTGGGTCTAATTCTTCGCTGCCTAATGCCGCTTTGTGAAGTCCTTTACATCTGTGCAGCATGGGTTCCAAATCAGAATAGCAACATTGGAGGTGGACATTGTTAGCCTAGACTGAAAATAATAGAGAACTGAATGTTGTACACACACACATATGTACAATTCAGGAAGGAGAGGGATGCAGTACATGGACTAGCACAAGAGCTGGGATTTTTGTCACTGCAGATAAAACCAATCAAACAAACAAAAAAGCCTGTCTCCCTCTATTCCATGTCAGCAGATGCTGGTTTGTGGAACAAGAGGAGCTGAGGGAGTTTATTCACCCAAGCCTGAAGTCTGATTTGGCTGTGAGAATATGCTGTTGTAAAAGGACATGTGGAGTCCTTGCTTGTGCATCAGGGGAGGTTTAGAAAAGTAGGAAGGTTGGATCTCAGATGGGAAGGGAGAGAGACTGAGGGGCACATGCCTGTCAGGGCTAAGATTACTAGCAATGAGATCTTGCTTCACATTCCTACCACAGGGACAGATTTTAGCTAAACTTCATTTTTTAAACTATATCAACAAAAGTTCTCAAGAGCTGAAATAAACATTTTGGCCCTGTCCAACTTCCCCACAAACTCCACTCTACCACAGCCTTTGCTCCTCCAAGAGAAAACTCACAGCCCAAGTAAGTTCTTTTAAACATTTGCTAGCCTGTCATAAAGATGGCACAGCAAACATCTGGCTAATTAGCCATGCCTTTTATTCTCTGGTTGTGTGGTATGTACATCTTGTATGAAATGAACACCCCCTTTCCAATTAGAACCCTGATATCATGGCTCAGGATATAGATCATCTACAGCAAAGAGAATAAACAATTTGCTATGCATGCTCAGCTTCTGAAAATCCTAGAGCCCTCTTTCCTCTGCATGATGATCAGTGGACTTGCTAACCTCCAAGACTGGGATGGGGGAAAAGGTTAGAACCCAGCTTTTCTTAGCACTAGACTATTTTCAGCCAGTCTTTTGCTACCATCATCAGCAAGCAGTCACTGTGCACACACTTAGCAGCTGGTAGCAAAGACACTTAGGAGCTAAGCCATCCTAGATCTTCCAGCATTTTTACCTCTTTCCTCTCCACGTCAGCTTGAATTTTCGCTTGAGTAACAGCAGCCTCACGGAAGGAGGAGCTGGCCTGTTTAGCCTGTTCAATCAGAGTCTTCAGTTGCTGGGCTGTGTTGAGTAAGGAGTTGACCATCTCCTCCAGGTACAGCCAGCTCCGTTGCTCTGTCATCTCCAGCCCATTCACCACTGAAGGGGATATGGCTTTGGTAGGGGTAGTGGGTGGCACAGCCAGGGCAGGAAGTGACGTCAACACTAAATATTAAGAAAGCAAAACAAAGTACACAGGATTAAAGTGTTTCAGCTCCTTTAACATCTCAGTCAAAAGTTCTGTCCAACCAAGACCCGGCTAAACAAACATAATCAAAGCAACAAATGGAGCACTCTGACAGAGCTACAAGGAATAAAACACGGTGGGACTTTTGGACCTGGATGAGTGAAGAACATGCAGGACTTTCGGACCTGGATGACTTAGCCTGGAAGGCAGGAAGTATTTGGGAAGCTTTTTACTTATTAGAAGAAGGAAATAGCATGTTACAGTACACTCCAGCAAAGCCTAATGCAGTTTGGCTGTTACTCAGCCCTGAATATTTCTATGCCCCAAGCACCACAATATCTGAAGATGCCTCATCTACTTAAAAACAGATGCTACCTCTCTCTCAGCAAATCATAACTCTGGCTATTGGCAATGCAGAATGGCTTTCAAAAAATGGTTGGGGAGAGCTAGAAGAGATAGAGGTTCTGATGGTTGAGCTGGAAAGAGCTGGGGTATATGCATGAAACCTGAGATGCCAAACACTGTATAACTTGGCCCTGGAATAGACATCTCCATTAGAAGCATTTGCTATAATGGTATTAAGAGACATCTGCTATAACAGTCAATGTGAAAAGAATCAATGCTGACATTTATCTCTTTTAAGTTTCAAGGAAGATGAGTGCGTGAGTAGTGGAGGTAGCTGATACTCCATTAACACTCTGAAGTTACTGATTCAGGCTTTCTTTTCGGTTTTGCTGACCCAAGAAGTTCAAAGCCACTCTCACAGTTTGCTTTTGCCTCTTTCGGTGAAGAACATTTCTCCCACTGTTGGTAGTTTCCACAAAAAGCTCCTAAATCTTGCTCAGCATTACCCCATATTTTTCCCCTGGGTGAGTCAGTCAAACACCATTGGGCTGGCCCTCTAGCAGATGTTTAGCTACGCTGTGTTCACTTACACCCTTGTCACATTTCTGAAGTTCTCAACCACTATGGAGGCCAGAAAATTATTAAATGAAAGTTTAATGATAAAAACTAGTTCTGTGGGAAGAAGTGAACAATGAGACTAATTTTCTGGCCTTCCAGAACCTGCACAGCCCTTGGTATATTGAAAAGTCTTTTGGGGAATGACATTTCCACCCTTAGAACATTACTGTAGAAGCCCACGGATGAACCTAATAGTGCAGCAAGCCAACCAGACAAGAAGGCATGTATCACAGCCAAAATTTTCAAACCTGGATGATGAAAGTTAATCCTTTAAAAGTGATACTGAAGTACTTAAAATGTCTGATTCCAGAGATTTGAAAATGTTGGCCTGTGCTTGTGTCCTCCATACAAGGAGTTAAGCAGGCTTGCACAGGGTAGTATGCAGAGGTACATATCAAGAGATGCACTTTTGCTCTTGGTTTCAGAGATAGTATTAGCCAGCTGAGCCACCGTAGCAGGAACAGAGTCACAGCAGGAGATTTTTCCAGCTTAAGAAGAACAAGCAAGCAAATGATTAACACCATATTTTCATCAGTACTGAGAACCAGGAAGAGAGGCAGACAAGAAACTGGAGGAAATAGCCTTGTTCATTATAAGCGGGCCAGATTTTGTGTTGAGAAATGCAATTATAGCACATGGCCTTGTGGGGAAGCAGGGATACCCTCTACAGCCAGGACTAGCCATACTTGTTCTATTTGGATGAAGCCCAGCCAATTATGCACCTTTAAAAAAAAAATCACCTAAATGCAAGAATGTTGAAAAACTAGGCATGCAGGGCCAGTTCTCTGCTGCCATGGACTCCTGTTACTCAGCTAAATTTAACACAGCAAAGCACAAACCCCAAGTGTTACAGAACATCTTTGCAACTGCACTGACCCATAGAGGAGGTAAGAAGCTAGCTACATTTTGTACTAGCATTAATTGTAGCACAAAATCTTTAATCAAAGAATGAAATCAATTCTGACTGAAGTGTGTGCATACTGTGTCTGCAATCCCTACTAACTCTATATTCCTTTAAAAAAAAAAATCTGGCATTCTAACTATAGATGGGTCAGACACATGTGGGGTGTATTAGAAAAAAAACAGTTTCTCTTTTTTCTCTCATGATTTTTTCTAAGTTTACCAGTTTAAATAAGGCAACTTGCTAAGGAATTTAGAAAAGTCCAATCAATTTTCAAAGATTTACTATTTTTTCGATGTATATATTAAATAGCTATATGTGTATTGTGTGGCATGGCTGAAGGCATGGTTGTTGGAACTGCGCATCAGATTCCATCATGCCTTTAATTTAATGTCTGTCAGTGGACTACGATGTGATTAACAGACTAATCATGTCTTAAGTGTAACATCCGTCAGGGGCCCTGGTGACAGAAGATAGCTTGCAATCGATGGAATCAATGCTTTCTCAGAGCTCTCATTTGTGCCTCTCTGTTCCCAATAGCGTTCAGCCTTATAATTGATCCCTATCTCCCTCCTCAACTAAGACACAACCCTAAGTGAACAGGAGCCTATGTCTGGCCTGCAACAGTTTGGGGTAAGGAGTTCCTAAGCTACGTTGCAAAAACTATTTTCTTTAAACATGATTTTACACCCTGTTGCAGATGAAACAAAATCCTGCTTGTAAAACTGGGCTGCAGTGGAAAAGAATGACCTTTACCTGACGGCAGCAGGCTGGGTCTGATGTGCCAGGCTGTCCCCACTGGAGAAGGAGCCAGAATTTTTGGTGAGAGTAACTTGTCACTGCAGTGCAGTGCACAAAGGCCAGTGTTTAAGCTGATGGACTCCTTTTAACTTAAGCTCACAGTTATATCATGCTTCATGTGGGAAACTCTCCTTTTAAATCAGTATGGAATAAATATTTAAAGGTGCAAAAAGAAAGACTTTTCCAGTCCGATGTGGAGAAACACCATCTCAGCATTTCACAGACAAGAATTAGTTTGATTCCCTGAGGCAGGTCAGTTTTGATGCTCTTTTGTAGGTCAGTAGTGTCAGATCTAGCTCACACTACTGCTACTACCTTTCCCTTTCTATTACAGGTCAAACAGGGAGAAAACCTGCAAGAACTTTTTCATTTTTAAATATCCAAGGTACCTGTGCTTTGTGGAAAATGATCCCCTCTTGTAATGTTAGCTATAAAAGTATGGAAAGAACATGGTATGACACTCTGAATTTCCCCTCTGCTGGCATATTCAGAAAGTATCCTTCTGTTCTGTTTGGGTATGAAGATGAAAGAATCCATGGCAGGGATTCACGAGACAGAATAAAAAAGACAAGCACAGCCTGAAGCTTAGAAAGTTGAAAGTTGCTAGTATAGGTTACCACTATCAAACCAGATACCTCTTAACATCCTACTCATCAAAAGCCAATGTAAATACAAGGGTTTATTTTAAATGTACAATAGCACATTTAGATGCTGGAGATGGAGGTAGTCTTAGAGTGCTATCCCAGCTATCACAAAGCCATGTGCAATGCAGCTGGAATGATACCATTAAGGATCTAGTTAAGCCATTTAAATTGTTTTCAGTTTCCTCCATTTTCTGCTATCCTCTTAGAAGTGTAAGAATAATGCTGCTTTCTTTATCAAGCCTGCCTCTCCATCTGGCAAGGACAACCTGCTCTAGGAATACAACTGAATATAACAGCTGCTTTCCACCAGTAACTGCAGCTTATACAGCCTCTGGTCAGGCTTTTTTTGTGTAGGGCATCAGTAGTGTTGGAAAGGTTAGTTCAGGCCTTGAGACAGCCGTATAGCTGCTGAAGGTTATAAATTATGGCTCTCACTAAAATGGTAGCAATGAGAGCCAGGTTTTTCTTGGATACTGGAGGATGAAAGAAAGTTTAACACAGGGGAAGGTCCTTGAAAATAAAACAAAACAGTAGGTATCCCTAAAGGATCTGGATCCTTTGTTTCCGTTAGTTTTAATAGGAAAAGAACATCTACTTCTTTTACACAATGTTCCCCATGTCAGAAGATTTCTGAATTATGAGGATTGCTTCATTAGTTAATCACAGTGCTTTTCAGGTGACTCTCTCTAAGAAGATTGAGACCTCAGCAATTGTGAAAGCAAAAATCAGGAAATCAGTATTTTGGTCTGCTTCTCTCAGGACTCGGAAAACAGAACTCATGAAAATGGAACCAGCATATAGCAGTCCCTTATAAAGCCAAAGTTCAGGAACGAAGCCTTGTTCAAGACTGCAATTCATACTGGGCTTAAAATTAAGGATGGGCTAAGTTCTAACCACAAGCCAAACACTACCTAAAACTGGGGTGGCCTTACATGCCCTTCTGAAGTGAAGCTGCAGTGAATTACTTGCTCTGGTGCATCTTTACATATAAAATACAATTCTAGTTCAAATGAGTCTCTGCTTAGCAAAGCTGTTGAGGCAAAATGGATTTAAGTATAAGAGCTTCCACGTAACTGAATATGACTAGGCTGAAAGTCAGGGACTGGAATCAGTGTAACAACATGACAACATTTTTCAAGTCATAAATTATCACTTTTGGCACAAGCGACAAAACCCAGAGGAATCTGGCCACCAATTTAGATGGAGGCTAGCACTTCCTAAAGGCAGAAGCAACGCACTGTAGTACAGAACTGTGTGTCAACTATGTGACCTTTACCTAATGTAGATGCAGGTGACTGCCACTTTGCTCTACAGGCTTTATTAAGGTAGTAAATTAGAGCAAACGTTTGAATGTCATGGTAATAGTGCTATTACATTTAGTTATGGACATCAGACAAATTCATCTTTCACATGAGACTATTTGCAGAGAAGCTTTTTCCAGTGCTGGATTTCCTGCAGAATCCAAGACCAAGGTTTGACATTTGATAATGTTATCTGATACAAAGTAGTTACACATTTAGCATTAGCACAAGGCTTAATAAATGTCAGTCAAGGGTTAAAACCGCCCTCCCCCTAGCTGGCAAAAAGGCCGATATTTACTCAGGTCTTAAATGAGTAAGAGAGATCTAATCCTCAATCAGATTGCATTTTGGATGGAGCATGAATTTATTACGTTACTCCCTGTGGTGGTGTGAACTGTGGCTATTAAAATTTCAAATGTTAATTTGAGGTTAAAATGAAAACTCACGTGGAAGGATGCTCTGTGTCAGGGTTGTCCAACTGGCAACCTGCAAGAGGCCATCATGCAGCTACCTGGTTCCCATCCAGCCTCCCCCACTCCATTGCTCTGGCTGCAGCAAGGGGCTCAAGACTCTCCCTCCCCTGGCTTCTACTTCCTGCTCCCACCCAAGGGGATAGGGTGGTACAGCGCAGCATGCAGTACCAGAGGAGCCAGCAGCCTGGAACACATGGGAAATGTATGTGTAGAGGGGGAGCCAAAGGTGAGCTGGGGCACCCATGGGTGGCAAGCAACCTGACGGGGTTTGTGCCCCCTTCCACTGATGTTGCCCCCACAGCAGGCAGCCCCTGCTGGTGCAGCCTGTGGGGCCTACAGCCTCTGGCCACTTAAAAGTTGGACAGCTCTGCTCTACAGAGAATTATAGCAATGCCTGCAAGTTAGCCAGCTAGTTGAAGAATCTTCCCATCTTATAGAAAGTCTCACATATCTGCAACATGTTCAGCAGAGATTTCAGTGTTTTATAAATACAGTAATTAGGACACTGTTTATTATTATCTACAAGTTCAAACCAGAAAATATGCTATCCAGGCAGGCTTCAAGCCTAGAAATATACAAGCACAATGTGCCAAAGCCCAATTTTTGTCAGGAGAATGGAGGTAAATATTTATGATTCTGAGCTGCATGGTAATTATTTAATCAAATCTCTGCTTTGCAGTCTGGACATGGGTAGAAGGCAGGACAGTGTAGCACCTTACAGACTAACTCATTAAGATGCCACACTACCCTACCTTCTACCTAACTTCAGATTAACATGGCTACCTACCAGCCTACGCTCATGGTACTGAGTTCATCTGAAGTCAGGCAGAAGGCAGGTCATCTTTAAGGCTGCTGACAGACGTGAAAAAAATAAAACAAAAAGCAGTGCTTAACCGAAAGAGGAAGCACTTCAGTTTAACCTGGCTCCCCAGCGTCTATATAGATTGGGCATTTCAGCAGGGCTCTCTCACACTTTTATCTAATAGCTGATTCAGTCAGCTATAAAAGCAGCAAAAAGCCCTGGTGAAGTACAGGATCTATACAGACATTAGGCAAGCCAGGTCAAACTAATACAATGCCTCTTCTGGGCATGTGCTGAAAGTAAAGTGCTGTTTTGTTTTGTTTTCACATCTAAGCAGCATTAGGTGCTACCTTGCACTGTCTTTAACTTCACCGTAGTCTGTCTTACTAAAGCATGAGTGTTGAACCACTGTAAGGTTCAAAAAGTAAGAAGGAAAGTAATTATTCCTAGCAGTCCATAAACTGTCTCAATCCTGTATTTATACATCTATTTCTCAGAACACAAAAAAAGGGTTGTTCCCCTTCAGTTCCACAGCGTCAATAATATTAGCATTTAATTTGCTGCTCAAACACACATCCATCTGGCTCTGTGCTGACTGGCTTCCCAGAACCACAGGAACGAAAGAAACAAAAGTCCTATTAAATCATCTTATCCCTCATCCAGGACTCTTGTCTTCTAAATTTTTGACTCAGCCCTTATTTAACTTTTTAAAAAATACCACTCTCCCACTACTACTGTTTGGAATTCAATTTCTGCTTTTGTTAAAAAGGGAATGTAAATTACATTAAAAAAGAGTGTACTGAAAGACAACTCTATAGCTGAACACAAAAAACAAAACAAACAAACAAAAAAAACACATGCCATGAATTTGACTTCAAATAATGCAAAAAGGGGCACATGTTAGGCTCTGTTGTAAGTCTTGACAGATGTCTGCTGTGAAGGCTCAAACTGCTTAGGATTTTCTTTTTAAAGCATTTCCAGACAAACCTACAAAAAGCGAAACACCTCATTACAGACTACTAAGAAAATGACTCATTGCTAGAGGCAAAGAACACTTTTCTGGACTCAGGACTGAATTGTTTGCTCCTGCCACTGAGTTATTATGGGACTGGAAAAGTCACTTCATCTCACCAGTTCCCGAGCACTGATAACAGCCCCTGAGGAGCATTTTCCTACCTCCTCAGGGGGCTGCAAGGCTTACTTGCATGTAAATCCTTTCCTCTGAGCATCCGAAAGTATATTATATAAAAGTGCAAAGTATTACTCCACATTTCTAACTTGAATTGCTTTTTCCTGTACCTCGGAAACAGGTCAGAGTTTAAAATCAAGACTCGCTCTCAGGCTGAGACAGTGCTCAGAGAAGTAACAGGGTAAAAATAAGAGGTGGAGGGTGTCTGACAGCGGAAACACTTTTCCTATATTAAGTGAAGCTTTCATGATCAGAAAAAGATACAGACCATTTGCTCCGAAGTTTGCATTCAGGTGATTTACTAACTCTGAGGTGGAAAGGCATTATGAAACAACCCTTATGGTTGCATCCAGACAAGTGTGGCTGTGCAGTGTGTGGAACCACAAACATGTCTGCAGTGCCACATACTGCACAGCAGGTGTTCTCTGCGCTGCAAGGGTGCATTGCCCATGCGTGTACTGCTCTGTTGTTTTTTTCTGCAGGCTTTTTTGACCCCTGGATATCCAGGGGTCAAAAAAACCTGCAGGGAAAAAAAAAAAAATGGAGCAGCACGTGCACGGGCAGCACGTACCACTGAAAAAGCAGAGCCAGGCTGCCTGGAGCCATGCTGCAGCTGCCAGCCAGGCTCTACCCAGAAGAATCACCATCGCTGCAAGAGGAGGCCCCCAGGTAAGGCTGCACAGTGCTGGCCCCAGCCTCCCCTACAACCCCGGGGGTAACTAGCCACGCACCAAAGCATGTGGGGCAAGGTGCACTTGCCCAAAATCAAAAGTTTAGATGCTCAAATAACCTTTGTGGATTCAACCCCAAGATCTTTCTTCAAACCCCACCATGCGCACAAATAAAAAGATTTTCTGCAACACCTACCAAAGCTATTCCTTCCAAAATTAACGTATCAGCAAAACAATCCCTGGTGGGAAGGGCAGTCAGCCCCTCACAAGAAGAGACTCTTAACAGGCCACTTTCCTTGTCAAGATAATATGGATCTAAATGGTAATTTTTTTTTTCAACCAAAATCTGTTCCAGTTATTGGCATAAGTATTCAAGAAAGAAACATTCTGAAGGAAGAATTAATTCAGGTCACATTAAAAGGCATTATTTTTGTTATACAGATTGTGTGTGCTAGTCTAAAGAGAAAAAGGAGTTTCAGCTACCAGTATGCCCCTGCTTCCAATACCCCTTACTTCTAATTCCAGAACTTGCAAAGACCTCTCTGTATGTTGTGTACTGAACGCTGAGAAAACAGGTGGAAGCAGTGTGGGCCAGAAGAAAAGTGGAAGGGAGAGGAAGATGAGCATTCTCCAGCATCTAAGCTCAGAGGAATCAGGTGAAAGAGACAGCCTCAGACCACATTAAACTTTTTGTGTGATAACTGCAACTAGAGGAAAGCCGATGCAGCATAAGTCACAGATCCAGGGAGCTGAAAGCCTCTAAGCCTCTGGTGCCAATGCAGAAACAGAAATATATCCCAGCCAGTGAGAATATAGACAAGTTGAAAGCAGGATGGCAATTCTCAAATACAAAATGCACCCTTACTGATCAGCTATCCGCTGACTCTGCCAACCCAAATAATATTAAGTGGTAGATTTGCAGCCACTAATTCCTCATCAGCCACCAGTTAAGAAAGTTGGCACAATGTAAAAAAGGAGGGTTGCATAGCAAGCTTTCACAAAACTGTTTTGAACCTTAAAAAAGGAGGTAAATCCACACAACGACTGGGTTGTATTAGACAGAGTATTAGAGTTTGCTGAAAAACTGTGCTAGTCTTCACAAAAAAAACCAAACCCTTGCAGTACGCAATAAGATACCAACAAGGGTAGCATCTCTTTCAAAAACAAGAAGCATAAGCAGACATTTTACAAGACTGCCAAAAAGTAGTTTTTACAAATGTTTGGGGGTAAATGTGTAAGTTTTCTGAGATTTAAGAATTAGTCCTACAAAAAAAAATATGCAGCAAAAAGATAACACCATGATAACACAAAAGCAGAACACCTTCCTCTCAGCTTCTTTACATTCCTAACTGCTTATTTCACGTTTAACATCTCTACTATCACCTTCCCAACATAACATAGTTTGGCCTCAGCAGAACCAACCTATAACAAGATTAAAACAGGATCCTTGCAAGACATCTGTTTGGCTCTGGGCACGGAGAAATGATTTGCATATATGGAATCATACAATCAGAGCCATCAAAAAACCTCCTACAAAATTGGCTGAGAACTTGTTGATTCATTGCAAAGAATGGGAATTTCAGGAAATTGCTGCAGCTGAATTTGAATTGGTGGTAAGGAATGGGTACATCATGGTTAGAACAAAAGCCATGAAAATACAGTTTTGTGAAACAATGCTAACAGAAAGCTGTAAGATTTAGGAAATAAATTCAAACCAATAATTCAAAGTTCTTAGGGACAAGAAGGACACTGAAATCTCTACAAAGAGAAGTGAGCTCATCAACATTAGCCCAAGTAAGCAAGCTAAGAATAAATTAATTTTCCTGTGACAATCTCTAGCTGAGGATGAAATAGAGTTTATGGGGTAAACCCAGCTACTGATGACTCTTATTTCAGAGACAACAAAACTTACCTATTTTGGGATGAGAAGTTGGCAGTGCAGCTTCTGGAAAAGGTGAAATCTGACAGTTGTCCTGATAACTTGGATAGTGGGGTTCTGGATGACTGACTCGACAAGGCTGCTGGACATTAGTATCCTGTACTACTGAAAGAACAAAGAGTATTATAAAACCATATTATAAACACAGCTTTGACTTGTTTTATATGCCTGGTTTGTGATGATGGATCCTAAAAACTGTAGTAACTAGGAGCACTGTCAACAGGAAACAGTCTTATGATATGAGACTACTACCATAAAAGAAGTCCCTCCACATTTAGCAGGTGTGCATCTCCTGTTATATATTAAGGTTTTTTTAAAGATGCTCACCTGTTCTCATCCACACTATGTCTATATTTTCACTTTCATCCAAAGATTCCAAATGCTTTAAAGAGGTACCCGGGTCCCCAAAGGCTGCACAATACATGTTCAGGACTTGCCCATGTCCTGCAAAACTCTGAACAGAACACAGGTTTCATGTTCCAGCTTACAAGGCCAAGAACAACTGAACATCTACCTGCACTACAACGTTCAGCTGTCCCTCGTGCTACAATTCAAATTGGCCTATATTATGTTCAAATGACTTGGAATAGCTTTTTCATCTCCTTCTATTCCCTTTTCATGTCATCCATCATGTTTGCATAGAAGGCAAGGGAGCCCTTGTCCGCACTGCAGGAGAAAAATCAACACAGCCCAAATATGAAGTTATTCCAAAATCCACCTCCCCATCACTAGGCTGCTGGTTTTACTTTCCTTCTGACTATATAGAAAGTACTACACTACAGTTCATTAATCTATCTCTTTACAGAAAAGAGCTGTTGATATTTCATATGAAGGATGCTACATGAAAATTGTTACACAATGTACTCTGCATAGCTTGAAAGTCAAGCAGCTAGTACTCGCTCGTGAATAAATAACAGATCTTCTAACAGTAGGATATACAACAGTATTTTTCACTTTCAGTGAATGTTTTCAAGTAGTATGCAAACTCTTATATATCACTGAGTTATCAGTAGATCTTAAAGCATTTTATGAAGGTTTAGTATTGTTAATTTTTGTATCTTCTGTTTGAAGAGTCTGAACTGATCTAAATAATTCATCATGCTCACATCTGCTATAAGTAGTACTAAGCCTTAAGGAGATGCCATAGATTTTTTTTTTTTTAAATCCCACTGAAAAACTGTACCCAGCATTACTATAAATAATACCAGAATTCTAACTGACAGAGTAGGGGGGGAAAAAAAAATCTCTCTCTTTTTTTTTTTTTAATTTACTTTGGGCATTTGAGCCATTTCTCAATTACTCAGTTTAATTACAGAGCTAGTTTTCTTTTTCTCCTGTGTGGTTTTGGGTTTTTTTGAACAAAAAAGGAGAGGGGGACACAGGTACAGTTGCAGCAACAAGCTGCTTTAAATTGGTTTTATGAAACTGATAAGATTTAAATTTGATGGAGTTGTTTTAAGGAAAGGAAACTGGGTGATCAAACACCCTTTAAGCCCTTGAAGATAAGTTTCCTTGATGCTTTCAAAGTCTTTAGGTCTAGCATCAGGAGTTCAGACTCTTCTCAGTACATCATTACTGCAAACCGCATATGAGTTTTGAGCTCTCACCAGTGGCTCCAGTGAAAACATCGCCTTGGGATGGACTTTCTGAGATGATAGCTGTGGCCTCCACAGTGGATGCACGGTCAAAAGTCAGAGCACCAGAGGTAGTGATCTGTCCAGAAGGAGTCACGGTGACTGAAAATAGTAGAAACACTTTAATCATTAGCATTCAGCTCTGACGGCTAGGCTGTTTAGCTGTTGATAGCCCTGGTCTGAGTCACCTGAAGTCACAGATCAGTAAGTAATCTGTGCTATCAAAATTCAGAATACAGCTCCATGCCTTAGAATGATAAATGAAAAATCACATTCTGGTTTCTGAATTCACTGCTTATACCTTAACCACCCAGAGTCAGGTCTCATTTTCATCTCTGTAAGTGGGAGACCTGAACATTTCACAGCAGTGTTATTTCTCCTGATACACAGCTGTTTCAATCTCTAAGCAGGTGATGCAACACCTGAGAAGCCAATGAAGGGGCAGGGAAGAAGTCAACCAATCAGCCCAGGAATTCCATCAAGCTCCTGGCTAATCTAACTTGTGAAAGCTTTAATGAGAACAGCTTTCACTAGCCTGAAAAACTCAACTGGCTTCAATTTCTTTCCAATGCAGTTTGGGTCTCTGAACTAGTATCAGTATATTTTCCTTACAAGATGACCAACATCCAATCTTAGACATGGAATAGCAAGCAAAACAGGAGCCACAAAATCCAGCTATGCTACAGTGCCAAAGACAAAGGCCTTGGTATTTATAAGGCTCCTCAAAGCAAATCTATCTTTTCTGTTCAGTTCAAGGAAAGACACCATAGTTGCCATCTTGAATCACCCTTCTGCCTGCTGTTTGCTCAGATGGGTGTCAAAACAGCCTTGCTTTAGAAGTGGTTGCAGATACTCATTCAAGATGATTTGTTCTAAAATGATCTGTCTACAAACACATATTCAGACATCTCTTTACTTGATTATGACACTTAGTTGAATATGGAACACCAATGCATTCAAATATGTTTTAAAGTACAATTCCAGCAACTTAGTCAGACTTGCAGTATGTTTCAAGAAACAGCATGAGGCAGAATAAGCAGGTCCTCCCTGCATCTAGAAAACAAAAGACCAGCACAGGGTACAGAGTCTACAGCTCCAATGATGCACAAAGGGTCAACTTTTCTAAGTGCCTCCTTTCCAGTGACTTGACTTTCAACTAAAGTAAAATGCTTAAGTGAAAATCTGAAATTTGAAAATCTACTTCTAAACCACTATGAAACAAGGCCAAGGCTCTGCAGATCTCCCAACACTACTAGAGCAAATGGATAACAGAAATGGGAATCAAGGTCTCGCTGACAGCAAGGATTTTTTTTTTGCAGAACTTAGTATGAAAGGATTTAAGGTGCTCATAAAATCTGTTTTTCTAGAAATAGTTGGACGATCCTGATATTGAAAGTTTTCCTACTGTACATTCACTTCATACACAGCAGTGGTGTGCTAGTGCATGAGAACCAAAACAGAAAATGAACTAACCAGACCAGACTAAGTTTGCTGTCAAATCAAAGAAGTGCCAGTGGCAAGCAAATAAGAGCAACAAGTGTTCACTAAATTCTGTATTAGGGTGTCACTAATATGAAAATCAATAACAAAACAGGTTTTAGCTCTCTTGTGACAAAGAAATGGCAAGTCTCTTCCAGGAGACAGAAACTTACAAGTGGTAGCAGCTGTGGCAGGAAGCAGGGTGATGTTTTTAGGAGAATCCTTTTTCACCGGAGTTGTAGGCATTTCGTTCTCTTTTTTCCGCCTTTTATAAGGTACAAAGAGCCGCACTGGGCCACTCTGGATGAAAGAGAAGGCAGCTATTCAGCTACTACAGGTACTTCTTACAAAGGCTTTTGTGGTTCTGGGATTTACCTATGTTTACTCTGACTCCCCAGAAATGCGGAGAGCATATTTGCACGCCTCAGCTACCCCTGAGGAAGTAAAAAACTGGGCTGAGGAAGACACTGCTGCATTTGACTAAAATGCCAATTAGAGACTCCAGCACAGGTTCTTGTTTCTCCACTCCAGGCCAAAACAAAGTTTAAGGTCCACAATCTTTAAAGGTATTACTGATCTCCACCCTACAGCTGATAGTCACTGCAGAGTCATCACTAACGATGGCTGAAGCTGAAGACTGGGATATCACAGGTCTTGGCAAACTCTGTATCTGCCAACAAGCTTTGCACCTGTACCACCAAATCCCTGTTCTCTCACCCACATTCTGAGAACAATGTAAATTTCCCATACCATGCTCCTTTCAGCTAGAAAGATGTGGGTATAGCTTCCTACCATGATTATCAAAGGAGCAAAGCTGTGATAATAATTAATTTCTTAGCTCACTGACCAAAATGGGAGTGAAGGGAATAAAAAGGATTTGCTTGGGAAAAAAATGTTCATGTCTCTCAGAAAAAGCAAAAAACCTAAACAATGCTGCTAGTGATTAAGTGAAGGGATTTCTTAGTGAGGCATTTCAGATCATTCTTTTTTTAACCTCTGTCTTAATTTTGGCACTGTTTGAAATGAAAATACCATCTTAAAATAAATTATCAAAGCATTTTTGTTTAAAAAAATGTCAAAACAAAACACTTTTGATTTTCTAAACTGTTTCCATTTTTCTTCAGCTAAAGTTACTTGCTAAATTCAGCTTCAGCCCTCAAACAGTTTCAGTGCCCAAATTTCTTCTTTGTTTTTAGCAAATAAGTTGTTTGCTCATAAAAAAGAAACAGCTTTACTCTGTAGCAGCTCTGAACACCAGAGACATTTGACAGCTCTGGGAAATAGGTGATCTTACCTTTCCCCCAATCACAGGCAAACCAGGAAGGTCAGGATGCTCATGATGGGAACTCAGATTGCCATGTAGCATCTTAACTGACTGACACTAGTCTAGGAGGCCAACCCTACTGATTTTCAAACAACTGGTTATAGCTCTGACTCACCAAGGTCATGTCATCACAGCAGGCAGCACAAGTGCAAGAGGCAGCATGAGGGTTTAAAATCCCATCCTGAAATTGCAAGATTACAGAGACACCATTAAAAAGAGTCATTAACTCTTCCCCTTTCCCAATCTTGAAGATACTCAAGCAACAGCTTCAGGCTACTCCTAATGAGAATATATCTAATTCCAGGCCCCTGGATCACAACAGAAACAACAGCTTTTCAAAAATCAAGGGAATGGCAGGGAAAATGCTGAAGGGGGGAAGAACTCTCTCAAAGCAAAGAGAAAAGGAAGGTGAACAAGTGTGGAATTATTTAAAAGATCTGTGCCCATCAGGTGTCAATGTCCTGTTTAACAGGAATGCAGCACTTTTTGTCAGGCTCCTTATAATGTCACAAGCTCCTTAAAAGCTCCTTATAAAGTCTCTTGAGCAATCTACTAAAGGATGAGGGATTGAAAACAGCCAGGAAAACAACAGTAAAGGTGCTCAGGTTACTGAATTAAAAGGAGACAGTGCCAGTGGAGAGCCCTGTTAGGCTCTCTCATCTCCCCATTTGTCATGCAGGGTGCAGCACTGGAACGTGTCTGCCATACACCTCTGAAGGGGAATGTAGCTGCAACCCTGTTGCTGTTACTGAACTACCCTATAGTAACACCTTTTCCCTCCCCTCCCTGTCCTGTCCAATTAGGTCAGCATACTCCTGTTCCCTACCATGACTTTAAGCACAAGGCAGGGCACAAAATCTTTGGCCAGCATGCTGGATAGCCCATGCTCCAACTCCCCTCTCCCCAATTCCTCTTGAGCAAAGAGAAGAGCAGATTTAATCTTACGTGAATAAGGCACTGTAGTGGCCTCCCAGCATAGCGGATACTTCTTTTCCAGTCTTTGCTGCTGGCCCTTCCTGCCATGGCTTCAAATTCAGTGGGGCTGTACCAGTTTTCCCCTTGCTTAATGCATCGGCCCCGGCCTCCTGAAATAAGGCAAGACAGCATCTGATGGTAAAGGTATACATGCAGTGAAGTAGTCAAGCCATAGCATGTCACACTCTAACACACTGGTCTGGCAGCTCCCAACATATCAGGTAATTGTATCTGCTTAAGAATTTGGCTGTAATAACCAGTGTGCACCACTGCCTGCTCATTTTTGTATGCTTGGCCTGCTCCAAGTTCTACTTTCACATGCACCTACCTCTAGCCTGAAGACTCCACTCACCTGTGGCACGTAGAAATTACCCCATTAGCCATTATTGTCAAAAGTGAAACTTTTCTTCCATTTTTTTAAAGGCCCCTGTAGGATTGTGAAGAAAGTTCCTAGCATAGACCTCACATAAACCAGAGCAGTGATAGGCCCTAGAATCTGTAGGTAGATGGCTCCAGCCAGCACAAAGCAAAACAGAAGCACTCACCCAGCCAAAGAATTCAGGCTTTCTACACTTCAGAAAAACTCAGCCAGACAGGCAAGGACCAAACACCCAAGGACAGCAATGCCCAAACTGGCCTGGAATCACTCCCTTACATTTATAAGAGGTTGTTTTAAGAACAGAGCTATCCAGCTTCTAAGGGCTGGGGTCTGAACATCCCGCCCCAGGCTGCACCAAGGCAAACCACTGCCTCCCTGGGCTACACACGGCATGGAACACCCCCAACACACACAATGCTACACTGCATGCCCACATGCAGTATAGCCCAGGCTCACCCTCAACTTCCCAGGTCACACCATACTGGGCAAGGGCAGGCACTGAAATCCAGAGGAGAGAGAGGAAGCCCAGAACCCTCAGCAACTGTTGCAGCTGGAGCCATGGGGGAGTGACTACCAGCAGGAGCCTGGGAGCTACAACTTAAACCCTTGCGGGCTACCAGCAAAACAGCTCTAAGAGCACTGAAATTAAAACCAGTGGACACCAATTGAGGAACTGAAAGTCACTCTTCCTCTCTTTGGAAGAAGCATGAAAAGCATTTTTACCTGAGCCAAGCCTGTTTTTATATAGGATTCCACTGATGTTGCGGCACCGCACGGGAAGTTCATTGTCATACACTGATGGGTCCCAGTTATACTTTGTTCCGCTCTTTTCTTGACCGGGTGTTAAAGGCGTAGGGGGAGACTGAGGACCTTTGGGTTAAGTGAAAAAATGTGAAACAAACAAAAGGCCCACTGAACACCTCTTTTCATTGTTCGTATCAAAGCTGTAGAGTAACTGACCCTAACTGCTGGAGACTAAGCAAGAAAAATATACTAAGATGGATTTAATTTTAATTTAGAATAGAGAATACGTTAGCAGCACCTGCCAGACCAATGACATTATTTAGGATATAAAACAGACAGAAAATAAAGGTGATTGATTATTGGAAAACATTTCCTACCAATGAGTTTAAATAAATGGGGAAATAGTTTCCCTCAAAAACAATGAATTTCTTTTAACTTGGGTCATTTAAAACTTAATTCTTCATAACACTGTAGACTGCTTTAGCTCAGGGAGGCTGGATGGGTTAGGTACTTCCCATATTCTATTTTTTATTTTGGAAATGTGGTTCTCAGTATTAAAGAGTCATTGTGCCATCTCGTGGACAGAAAGGAAACAGCAACACAGCAGCCAAAGTGCAATCTTTACAAACAGAGCAATAGAAATAAGAGTTTTCTTGACTTTCAAAGATCAACAGGAGGCTTCAGTAGAAATAGGCCTATGTCCAAAATGTTGTTTCTTCTAAAAAACTTAATCCAGGTATGGAAAAAGGAGACAAAAGTTCCTCATTGTTGCAACATTTTTCCAATATCAATAAATAAAAGAAGATGAATTTTTCATTTTAATGAGGGGAAACATATATTGTTGCATATAGCTTATGAGTAGCAAAGAAAAGGTAACAGTTTCCTGTACAGGTATTTGCAAAAGGTTGAATCAAGGAATGAGAGAATGAAATAGATTTCTGATAGAAGAAACGGGGAGAAAATATTTCTTCCCCTATTCCCAGGCACTACTCAGTAAGGGAAACAGAAACAGGTTTTCAAGAGGTAACAAAATTTTTTATAACATGACTTCAAAGAGCTCTCCAATGTGCTGCACTTTCACTGACATAAAGATGCATGTCCCCGAGGGAGTAACACTGAAAACAGAGGACTGTGTTATACCTGGTGTGAGAGGTGCTGAGGGCCCCTTCAACCCTGTGGTTTCTACAATGCTGCCATCTGTGTGGACCACTATGAGAGTGGCTTTTTCAGTATTCAAGCTGTCCCCAATTTGAAGGGCTGTTCTTCCAGACTACAGAAGAAATAAAGAATTTTAATTGGTATAATTAAAACATAAGTTAGTTTTGGGCTTCAATGGAAGGAACCCTATTACTGTAATTTACTGTGGGAATAGCTAGATGGTTAATGGGCCTCCAACTGACCAAATTCTGCCCTATGAAAAGTGAGTGGAAAGCCACATACTTCAGGTCCTTAATCCCCCAGGGGAGGTGGGAAATATACAGTCAGACTGACAAAGAAACACCTGACTTTTGCGACTCTTAATTTTACTGAGGGTAATGCACCCAAATTCCTGCATTTTTTTTTTTAACATAAAGGCACCCTCTTATCTTACCACAGCCAGACATAATCCAAGAGTTTCACTTATCCTAAGATATTACACAGGGCTTAGCAGAGGCCCTGGCACACAATATACCTACCAGCACGTGTCCAGAAATAGATGCTGCATTTGCCACAGATGTGGTGAAAACATTGTCTGCAGAAGCGCCCACATTGGCAACGGTCACCGTGGTCACTTCTACAATGTAAAAGAGAAGTGAACTTGAATATTCAACTATATCCACAGGCCCTGGTTGGATGCTAAATGACAAAAAAACCCAAACACCCCAACCCCCATAAAATGCAATTATGTTCCCTTTTCTTTGTATTTTTTCCAGTTTCTTTTCCCTGAAAATCTGTTCTGTTTCAGGGCACCTATATTCTTTGATAACAGAAACAAAAGTCACTTTGATCATTCCCTTCAGACTTGGGTTGGTTTATCAGATTTAAACAAAGCAGGGACGGTATTTTGCAGCATGTGATTAACAAATGGAAAATGAAGCTCCTATAGGACAGGTGAAATCTGTTAGCATGGTTAAAAAATACAGCAACTGACAAAATGCAAGATAAAAAGGAAGACAAGGTTCTTTGGGTAAATCTGGTATCTTTTTTCAGACCAACTAAAATAGTTGGAAAAATTCTTCTTTGCAAGCTTTTGGGTACAAACACCCTTCATCAGGCTGAGGAAGCATCTGCAGTCAGAAAACCTCAGAGTCCCTGCCTGCCTAAGGCTACATAATAAATCACTGCTACCACCAAAACATGCTGCACTTGTTGACCAGCCCCAAAAAAATCTATCCTAAAATGCATCTGTCTTAAATGACACTTTGCTTAAAGTGTGAGTTTAGATATAAAACTAGAGGGTTTTCCAGTTTCTCTCTCTACTTCTGATGTTTAGGTTTATTTTTAGGGAAAATTAGGTAAAAACTTATGGCATCTTGTGGTTTATACCTGTTTATACAAAAATGACAAGGTATATATATAGCACTTATAAAAACATGAGCATGTTTGAACGTTCCCTCCTCTAACTGAAAGTATCTAAAATGAGTGCTGTACGTCATGTATGTGTGACTTCATCAGGCCAGATTCTACAGGACCCACAAAACTAACACACTTTTTAACAGTGCATGATCCTATAAAAGGTATGGTGACCATAATTATGTTAGGGAAATCCAAGATTGGCAAGGGGGGGTTGCCAGGGGGCATGCACACTTCCACACACATGCATGTGTGCTGGGGCAGTGTGCAGCAGCATGCAGGGCTGGAGCAGCTGTTGGGAGTACAGTGCAGCTCACCGGGGCCAAGGCCAGCGCGCCAGCCAGGCTGAGGGCACTGAGAGGGCTTTCTCTGACTCCTGGCTCCGGCTCTATCCCGGAAACTATGGCAATATCCTAGCCACGTGCCGCCAGGCTGGTCCAGCCCGGCCCAGAGGTGCATGGCCAGGATGTAGCTGCAGGTGCCAGGATGGGGCCTGAGCTGAGAGTTAGCACAGGGGAGACAAAGCCTGTGCGGTGCCCTGGCCCCAGCGACAAAAGCACTATGTTCCCCAGAACATCCCAACAGCTGCTCCAACCCTGCCCACACAAACCTCCAAGATTCTCGCCAATCTGGGACTTCTGCTTAAATTTTCTCCAGCAGCCAGGAAGCTGAAACAACCTATAAAATCTGGGACTGTCCTGGCAAATCTGGTACATATGGCCACCCTACCCATAAAAGTCATTCAGAGCGCACACACTACTTAGGTTGAGTTCTGCTACTTTACTTCATGGCATACTAGAAAGGATTTCATCATTCTGGGAATGGAAAAACACCAAAGCCACCCCCAGGGTAAGATATGAACATGAAGAACAAAGCCATTATTCTGGGAAAAAACTTTTCTATCTGAATGGCAGATATTGTCTCCAACATTCAGCATTTGAGGAAAATGTCAAAGTGAAGAGCTGAGGTAGAGAAAGGACAGTCTCTTCCACTTTATTCTATGTGGGGAAAATTAATGCTTAGTGTAACAGCGATACCAATACTGTCAGAAGCAGCAAAGGGCTGATAGAGCCTTCTTTCTAGTCCTGCAACTCAGGTAGCCTGACTTTAATTATTTTATGCCTGTCAGTCTTGCCACCTGGAAAGCAGAGATAATAACATATCCAGCAGTGGTATGCTAAGGATTCATTAAATAATGCCCAAACAGAACTTTATCATGTAAAGTATTATTAGAGGTCAGGATATAGTCAACTATAACAGTAGTTAACATGACAGAAACAGCAATTAGACAGGAAGAGAGAGTCAAATGTATGATTACATACTGCTTAACGAAGGTTGTGTTTTCACTGCAAGAAACATTTGTTTTTATACCAGGATATGGATCTTGCTGTAAAGGCTTAATGAACTCTAGAAGCGAGAGTTTTTGCCTGGATGGAACTAGTAAAAATGAAGCTGGAGGTGGGAGAGGAGAGAAAGGGAGGGGGGGGGGCTGAGGAGAAGAGTGCTGACTTTGTTTTTGTGAGGGCAACACTACCTGTGCCTCATCTCCACTGCGATTTTTGCCCCAAGGTTGTTGTTACTTCAGTGGAGTGAAGCTGAAGCTCGTTGGCCTCGTCAGCTCATAGGCCTCCTGCTTGCAGGACAGCACGGCTCAAGACATGCCCACACAGCGCCGTCATGCCACATGCTATGACACCTCCGCCTGCTTTGTCTCACCAGCACCAGTAACAACTGCCACTCAGACGAGGCGCTTGGGGCACATAACCCAGCTCCCTAGAAAGCCTGTGCTCCACCTACTAGCACAGAGTGAAAAGTCAGTGCAACAGCATCCCCTCTGCCACTGCCTCTGGGGCTAGGCAGATGCCGCCACAGCCTCTGCTGTAAAGCTATACAGGGTGACATCGGTCCAACCTGAGGCACACAGACACACACATAGGCAGCAAACCAGTGGCATGAGGTGGAGGCAGGCAGTCAGGGCATACGAACACTCCTGCCCTGGCCCCTCTTGCAGCAAGGGGCACCTTCCAGTGACACATCAGGCTTGGGTGGCGGCAGCCAGGCTAGGGACCATGCCATAGGCATGCAGCTACCTTGCAGGCACAAGTCTTGCAGGAACCCAGGAGACATCCGCCCAGCGCACAGCAGAGAGCAGGGCACAAGCCCCACTTCCCCCCCAGGCAGTGTGGACGGGCCCGAGGCGTCCTACAGCTGCGCTCCCTACAAGCTGGAGTTCCCCACGGCTCAGTGCGCATGCGCCAAGCCAAGGGCAGCGGAGCAACCCTCAGCGGAGTTCCATTAATCAGTGCGCATGCACCAAACTAAGGGACGAGGGAGGAATCCCCCAGAGGTGGAGAGCCCCACTACTCAGCGCGCATGCGCCAAGCTAAGAGGCGGGAAAGGAACCCCAGCGGAAAGGAGCCCCACTGCTCAGCGCGCATGCGCCAAGCCCGGGAAAAGAGGGGGGGAGGACGCTCTGCTGCGCATGCGCCTCCGACCTGACCTGCGAAGGCGGCGTCGGCGCTCGGCAGGGACTCGGTACCCATCTCGATGTGTTCGGCATCTGCCGCCATCACGGTCACGGCAGTCACCTGCTCCTCAGGCTCCACCTCCGACTCCGAGTTCGCCGCCTCGGCTCGCTGCTGTTC